AAGCTTGATAATTGAAAATTAAAAGTATTGACATGCGCGCGTCTGGTGCCGTCCACTAGTCAAAATCACTAATCCATTTGCACACTTGCGTAAATTCACTGGACAATCAACCACTGTATGACAGCGCACAATCATTGTAGGCTTGGGGAACTTAGTTTTTGCACTGGAGGCTTCTAAACCCCAGACGTCCCCTCGTAACTTCTCATAAAATAAATATGGTTTCTTTTTTGGGCTTAATCTCGAAAATCAGTACACTATAGTGTACTATAGTCATATACTGGAAGTCGGTCCGAGTGTTTGACCACAAAAGTGGGGCGCTTGTCTTATAGAAATTTTCAGATGCGAACATGAGATCAACATCAACTCCCGGTCGGTCATCCGTGCATAGGTTAAGGACTCTGTCTGAATGCCAGCGATTTTTCTTAATTCCCACGGCGATTAAACTACCCAGTTGGCGCATCAGCTTGCTGCAGAAAGTATACCAACCTTCATTGGAAGCTGGTTGTGAAATAAGCTGAATTGTGCCTGTTAGATTGGCATCTGGGAACCTGCAGCAGCAGGGGTACCAGCGAGCTAGGATCTATCATACCGATTCCTTCAGAAATGCCGCAAAGTTCGAGGACCGTAAGATGATATGACGGCGGCGAACCGCTCTTAAGTCGATTCACCCGTCATCGCCGCCTAGCGGTTGGGTTCCACCGAACCAAAGCGCTGTGAGCACTACCTGAACAAATAATCCGGGTGGCTGCTGGGTGGCTTGCATGTAGCCAACTAGGTCAGGCACAATCAAAGCTTTATCATGCGGGGCAATGCAATTTTGCGTCGTATGTTAATATTTTAATTTGCCTTCTGGAAGCTCTAGCAGGTGTGTAGAATTCGAGGCTAACGCAAAAAGCCAGGTCGAAATCAGTGTACGAAAGTAGGAAGAGTGAATACTGCACTCGGAACCCTTAGACCCAAGTCATTTCCATTATACTTGTTCTTGCTGTCATGTGTTTACTCATACATAATTAGGGATCACCCTTTAGCTGTCATGGCACAGCCTGTGAAGAACAGGCTTTTCCCGCAAATGTACTGTGGTAGGGAATGTCATCTAGTACAGAAATCACTCGCTCCCACTCATTAGTATGTAACAGGTTTTTTTATTGCAGCCGTTCGGCACCGTAGAAGCTTGAACTTGCGAAAATGCAACTGCTGTAGAAGCCTGTCGCTTTTGCTTATTTCTCTGGGAGCTTCCGTCTACTTCGGTAAATGGCGACTAAGACGTCAAAAACCATCAGTTCTGATTGTGGAGATGACTCATTGGGTGAGTTGTTTAGTCACATTGTATGCACTTATGTTGCCTCAAGTCATTTCGAATCATGCCTTCTAAATTACCCCGTGTTATTTGTTTACAGGTATGTTCTATAATGATCGCCTTCCATCAGAGTTGATTTTCTCTCAACTTTCCGGCTGCCAATGCACAGGTCTCTCCTGTAACCCTGATCAATGCGATTGCGTGAAGCGCCGTAACGGGAGCGTATTTGACAGCTCCTTTCGACTCTCCTGCCTTTTGGATTACAAGAACAGTCGACAACTCCAACCGGTCTTCGAGTGCAATAGTTGTTGTGCTTGTCAGCCTACCTGTTCTAATCGGCTAGTTCAGCACTTTGTTGGGCGCTTTCCGGCATTGAAAGTCGTTAATACAGGAAATGCTGACAAGGGCCTGGGCGTCATATGCGAGAAGGATCTTTCACCTGGTCAGTTTGTCTGCGTCTACATGGGAGAATATATTCTGCCGTCGGATGCCGGCCGGGTTTCTCGAGACCAGATTCGCTCTCTGGGCCACACATACGTTCTGTGTGTTCGAGAATTCGCAGGCCAGTCCCGGCTAGTAAGCCAGACAGTAGTCGACGGTGCTGCGGAGGCATTTTTGCCCGATCTGCCCATATCTAGTTTCATAAATCACTCTTGTCAGCCAAATATGACCGTTATCCC